AAAAAAAAATTAAAAAAAAAAAAAAAGTAAATATGAGTCCCAGCTATCATTATAACAATATCAGAATGGTTTGGGGATGCAGCTGGGTTTAGCACAGAGCAGTGGTGCTGGAGTGCAGAATGGAGAGAGATGATGCCCAATGACTAAAAAAAAAAAAAGTCCATTATAAATTGAATAAAATAATAAATGACACTAATTGCATATTTGCAGATTTCACAAATATTTTAAAGATACCAGAAAAAAGCTATCAAAATTGTATTTTATGCATGTTGAATAATCAATATTTATTATTAAGGAAACCAAACAAACTTATCTAAAATAAAAATATTTGTGTAATAAAGGAATGAATTTGGTAGATTGTAAGAAAGCAAAGACATAACATATCTAGGGTTTAAACAAATCTTTTTATCTTGTTCCTTACTAAATACTTAATCATAGGCTGATAAAATAGAATTTTATAAAGAGTTAGGAATACATCACTGTGAAACGATATTAGGAAAAAATCAAACAATGCAAAAGAAACTTTTTTTTCTCTTTAGGGGAATAGGAGGAAATGGCATTTTCCCTGGCCAGGAGAATAGATTTGTTTTTCATGATTATTAGTGACTTTTAGGAGCAGTTGAGACAATGTTTAACTTCTTAAAAGCCACTAATTTATTTAAATACCATTCATTTTCAAATGAATCTTAAACAAGTTTTCAATATGATTATGGTATTCCTTAAAGACTGGGAAGTTTGAAATTCACTACGAAATTAGGATATCTTGGAAAAAAACAGCATGAGAAGGAATTTTATGACAGGGCCACAAGATGGAGGTATATGACTACCATTGAGACATAGTTTAGCTGAAATCCAAGACAAAAAGGACTTCCATAAGGAAAGGAGCCATCCAGATCTCCTTAAGTTTACCTCAAGTGGACACAAATACTAAAGCAAGATATACGCCAAGTTCTTTAACACTCTCACTATAGATATTGTACAGGAGATCTGCACTCCATGATTTTAGTAGATAGAAACTCTGAATTTAGTATAGAATTTAGTCAACTCAATTTTGATTATTTTGAGTTTCTATTGTATTTTGCTCTTCTGTTTTGGTCAAAAAAGTCAATAAAAAGTCGGCAGCAGATGGCGATCTGAAGTCATGATTTAACTTTAAATTTCCTTAATGAAAAATTAAAGAGTGACAGAATCAGAAAATTATGAGTAATAAGAGAAAATGATCACAATGCATCATAGTATTCAAAAGAGTACAAACTGTCTTTCCTTCAACAGAACCTAATTCATAAGCAGATCTCAAAATTTTAATACAAATATAAGAAGATCAAATATTACACTTCATTTATTTATTTACTTATTTATTTTTTGTGAGAGATCGAGCTCACCGCACATGTGGGGAAGAGAGGCAGACGGAAGGAGAGAATATTAAGCTCAGTGCAGAGCCTAATGCAAGACTCGATTCCATGACCCTGGGATCAAAGATTACACTTTAAAAACTAATTCCAGGTTTATTTTTTTTTTTTAGGGAAAAGGTTTTTAAAAAGCAAAATAGTCTCGCAGAAAGAGAGTACATAGAAAAAGTTTTCTATGATGAATTTTAGGAACTATTCAATATCCATAGCCCGTATCTGTATAAGTTAAAACAGTTAATTCTTTCTGCTCCACTTTTCTTCAACACCTACGTTGTAATACATGTCAGTTGAACTTCAGTATCCTAGGAAAATAAGAATGGATGAAGCTAAACATCTTCTGAATACTGAAACAAATGAATGCAATACATTCGCCAATGATGACCACTACATAATGCAGCTCAGATCTCTCTCATGTCTGTCTGTCTGTCTATCTATCTATCTATTTATTTATTTACTTTAAAATGTTTATTTAATTATTTTTGAGAGAGAGAGCACGAGTAGGGAGGGGCAGAGAGAGAAGAGACAGAGAATCCCAAGCAGGCTCTGTCCTGGTAGCACAGAGTCGGATGCAGAGCTGGAACTCACGAACCGTGAGGTTGTGACCTGAGCTGAAATCAAGAGTTGGATTAACTGACTGAGCCACACAGGCACCCCTCTCATGTCTATTTAATCTCTCCTTTTCTGGCTAGCACCACAGACATTGTAGACTATCACTATTATGCCTCCCTGTTTCTACTTTCTTACTTTCTGGCAGCTGGTGGAGTATCACTTTAAGAACATGTACTCAGGGATCACACTTGGGTTTAAAGGTGACTGAACCTAAATAAGGAATTTATCTCTGAGGTCCTCTCCCATCCCCATATTTTTATTCTCTAAGGTAAAGATAAACTCACTGGATGGTTTTGAAGATTAAATTAGGTAAGAGATTGAAGACATCTATCACTGACTAATGTTAAATGGTTCCCATCCTTTTTCCATTTTTTCCCCTTTCAAATTAATAACATGATTTAACACAGTTTTTAAAAAATATTCTTGGGGCGCCTGAGTGGCGCAGTCGGTTAAGCGTCCGACTTCAGCCAGGTCACGATCTCGCGGTCCGTGAGTTCGAGCCCCGCGTCGGGCTCTGGGCTGATGGCTCGGAGCCTGGAGCCTGTTTCCGATTCTGTGTCTCCCTCTCTCTCTGCCCCTCCCCCGTTCATGCTCTGTCTCTCTCTGTCCCAAAAAATAAATAAATGTTGAAAAAAAAATTAAAAAAAAAAATAAATAAATAAAAAAATAAATAAATAAAAAATATTCTTGATTCACAAAACTTGTGGATAATTTGACATATATCAGGATTACCCCAGAGGAAGTAAAAGAGGATGTAATTGTTTCTTTTTGTGTGATTTGCATGACATTTCATGCTTGAGGAGCATTTTATTTAGGTAAAGAGTTGAATGCTTTTAACCTAGGCAATAGAGGTTTGAAAGTAAGAAATTTGCATTTAAGTAACAGGGTGAGGAGATAGTTTTAGTAAATATGGGTAGATGTGACACAAGTTCTGTATGCAGTAATTTTTGTTTTATTAAGACTCTTTTTTTTAGAGCAATTTAAGCTTCACAGAAAAATTGGCAAGTTATAATTGATTAATCTACACTGATACATTATAATCACCTAAAGTCTGTGGTTTGCATTACTGTTTACTCTTGGTGTTGTAAATTTTACAGGTTTGGACAAATGTATATGACATATATCTATCATTATAATTTCATACAGAGTATTTTAACTATCCTAAAAATCTTCTGTTCTTTGACTGTTTATCCCTCCCTCCCCTGATCCCACCACTTCAGCTTTGTAACTATGAATCTTTTTACTATCTCCATAATTTTGCTTCTTCCAGAATATAAAATATAGTTAGAATCATACTGTATATAGCTTCTTCAGGTTGGCTGTTTCATTTGGTAATACTTAAGGTTTCTCTAAGTCCTTGCATGCCTTGATAGGTCATTTCTTTTATTACTGAATAAATAATATTCAAGTGTCTGGATATACCATAGCTTCTTTATCCATTCACCTACTGAGGGAAATCTTGGCTGCTTCCAAGTTTGGGCAATTATGAATAAAGTTGCTGTAAACATTCTTGTGCAAATTTGGTGTGAACATACCAAATTTTCTTTTTTTTTTAAATAAAAAAAATTAATGTTTGTTTTTGGTAGGCAGAGAGAGAGAGATAGAGAGAGAGAGAGATGGAGAATGAGTGGCAGAGGGGTAGAGAGAGAGGGAGACACAGAACCTGAAGCAGGCTCCAGGCTCTGAGCTGTCAGCACAGAGCCGGATGAGGGGCTTGAACCACGAACATGGGATCATGACCTGAGCCGAAGTGGGTGCTTAATTGACTGAGCCA